AAGAAGTTACGTATTGCTCATTTTATTTTATTTAGAGGATAAATTTATCAACATATTTTAGTTCAATATTACCCTACATAACCCTCACACCGCCTCTAACAGATACGATAATAACTCACCAATGACATATTAATAACCAATAACTTCCTGATCAAAATGACAATGCACTCGAATGCACCATAAATTTGTGGCCCTTTTTGTTGTTGTGTTCATCATAATTTAGCTCACGATATAAATTAGTGTGTATAAGAGAGAGAGAGAGAGAGAGAGAGAGAGAGAGAGAGAAGACAATTTTACTCTTGGCCTGCAATGCTTAAGTCACTGGTGCAATTGGACTCATCCTTAGGGGCTCCAGCTGATGGGGACCCTAAGTTAGGGGACCCAATCTCAAGGCCCCAAAGCTTAAATAGTCCCTAATCCCAATCTCTTTATGGTAAAGATTAGACTACAACTGCTTGAGGCCTTGCAGGAGGATTAGCTTATCTGACCAGGGTCTATGTGAATGGGGTCTACTGGGGGTATTTCTCTCTACCTTCATTTCTTTCTCATTATGTATTTTTACCTATCTTTATTACCTATTTCTTTTATTTCGTTCGTCTTCCACGTTCTTTATTGTCCTCATCATCCGCCCCGCCCCGCCTGCCTCTGCCCTGCCCCCGCCTGCCCGACCTGCCTGCCCCATGTGATCCAAATATTTTAAGGTCATATATGAAGCATTGACTGGCTGTTGGAGAAAAAATACATTATATAGTCTGTTACAGGTGTGGAACAGGTGTGTTACAAGGAGGGATGATGGCAGGTGTGGTACAGGTGGCTTACAGGGAGGGATGGACAGGTGTGTAATAACAGGGAGTGATGTACAGGTGTGTTGCAGGGAGGGTGGCACAGGTGTGTTACACTACAAGCTGGCACAGGTGCTAACAGGGAGGGTTACAGGTGTGTTACAGGAGGGGGCAGTGATTGGTGGGTGGTGGGCAGCAGGGAGGGGTGATACAGGTGTGTTACAGGGAGGGGTCCAGGTGTGTTACAGGGAGGGGGTGATACAGGTGTGTTACAGGAGGGCGATACAGGTGTGTTACAGGGAGGGGTGATACAGGTGTTTACAGGGAGGGTGAACAGGTGTGTTAAGCAGGAAAGGGATATAAAAGTTAACAGGAGGGGCATGGGAGAGAGAAAGGAGCAGGAGGATGGAGCTGAAGAGTTAAATGTAGTAATACTAACATCATCAGTAGGTCAACCCCCAATCCAACCGAGACTGAACACCTTATCGCCACGACAAACCTAACCAAAACCTAACCCTAACCTAACCTAACCAAACCTAATCCAACCTAACCTATCCTAACCTAACCAAACCCAACCCAACCTAACTAAACTAAATCTAACCCAACCTAACCCAACCCAACCCAAACCCAACCCACCCAATCCCAACCTAACCTAACCCAACTCAACCCCAACCCAAATCCCAACCCAACCTAACCTAACCCAACCTGAATTTACACACTGTTCATGTGTCACATATTATACCAGATTTGCTGGAAACGGTAATGATACTTATCAAGGTAGCATGATAGCAACACCAACCTAGGGTGGCTGGGCGATGGCAGGGATGCATTCTGCGCTGTGTTAGTGGGTGAGCATGGCGTGTGTGGGCTGGGTGAGCATGGCGTGTGTGGGCTGGTGAGCATGGCGTGTGGGGCAGGTGAGCATGGCGTGTGGGGCTGGTGAGCATGGCGTGTGGGCCGGGTGAGCAGCGGTGGCTGGTGACATGGCGTGGGGCGGTGAGCAGGCGGTGGGGCCGGGTGAGCATGGCGTGTGTGGGCTGGGTGAGCATGGCGGTGGGCCAAGTGAACATGGCGTGTGTGGGCTGGGTGAGCATGGCGTGTGGGCTGGGTGAGCATGGCGTGTGGCTGGGTGAGCATGGCGGTGGGGGCAGGTGAGCACGGCGTGTGGGCAGGGTGAGCATGGCGTGTGTGGGCTGGTGAGCATGGCGTGGGCTGGGTGAGCATGGCGTGGCCGGTGAGCATGACGTGGCCGTGAGCATGGCGTGTGGGCTGGTGAGCATGGCGTGGCCGGTGAGCATGGCGTGTTGGGCCGGGTGAGCATGGCGTGGGCTGGTGAGCATGGCGTTGGGCCATGAGCATGGCGGTAATGGGTGAGCATGGCGTGGCTGGGGTGAGCATGGCGTGCAGGGGCCGGTGAGCATGGCGTGTGCTGGTGAGCATGGCGTGTGGGCCGGTGAGGGCCGGTGACATACGGGCCGGGTGAGCGGAATGGTGGAGCATGGCGTGTGTGGCTGCGTGAATGGCGTGGGCCGGGTGACATGACGGTGGGGCTGGTGAGCATGGCGGTGGGGCCGAGAGCATGGCGTGTGTGGCCCCGGGTGACATGGCGTGTTGGCTGGGTGAGCATGGCGTGGCTGGGTGGAGCATGGCGTACCGGGTGAGCATGGCGTGTGGGCTGGGTGAGCACGGCGGGCAGGGTGAGCGCACGGCGTATTGGGTGAGCATGGCGTGGGGGCCGGGTGAGCATGGCGTGGGTCGGATGAGCAAGCCGGGTGGCGGAGCATGGCGTGTGCCGGCGAGTATGGCGTGTGGGCTGGGTGAGCATGGCGTGTGGTAGCTGGATGAGCACGACGTGTGTGGGCAGGGTGAGCATGACGCGTGGCCGGGTGAGCATGACGTGTGTAGGCCGGGTGAGCAGAAGTAGAAACATACTGGATACAGGTAGATACACACAGACAGAGACGAACTAATATACAGACATTTACAGTGATACAACTGTTTCTGGGGATCATGACCTGTTTTACTACAGGAGCTCACGTGGATGATGGACGTATTGTAAACACTGGATAAAGGCCGGTGCTACAAAAAAGCAGCGGAGGTGGGTTGTGTGTGCTGCGGAGGTGTGGTGCTGCTGTATGTGTCATGGAGGTGTGGTGCTGCTGTATGTGTCATGAAGTGTGTGTGGTGCTGCTGTATGTGCCACGGAGGTGGTGCCAGGCCATGCAGGTGTGTGCTGCTGTATGTGGCGGAGGTGTTGTGCCGCTGTATGTCATGGAGGTGCTGTGCTGCTTATGTGTCATGGAGGTGGTGCTGCTGTATGTGTCATGGAGGTGTGCTGCTGTATAAGCCGCGGAGGTGGCTGCTGTATGTGTCATGGAGGTGTGGTGCTGCTGTATGTGTCATGGAGGTGTGGTGCTGCTGTATGTGCTGGGTGGAGGTGTGGTGCTGCTGTATGTGTCATGGAGGTGTGGTGCTGCTGTATGTGTCATGGAGGTGTGGTGCTGCTGCATGTGTCATGGAGGTGTGGTGCTGTATGTGTCATGGAGGTGTGGTGCTGCTGTATGTGTCATGGAGGTGTGGTGCTGCTGTATGTGTCATGGAGGTGTGGTGCTGCTGTATGTGTCATGGAGGTGTGGTGCTGCTGTATGTGTCATGGAGGTGTGGTGCTGCTGTATGTATCATGGAGGTGTGGTGCTGCTGTATGTGTCATGGAGGTGTGTTTGTGCTGCTGTATGTATCATGGAGGTAATATTGAAGGCCTGGCTGGTTTGTTTACTTAAGGTGAAAAATTGGATCACCTGAAGAACCACTCGAACACTATTTGATGGGTCATGTGGTTAGGTTAGGTTAGGTTAGGTTAATCTTGAGGTGAAATCAGCTGGGGTGGTGATTCTTCAGGTGATCCGAAAAAGGTGTCATTGATACCTTAAATAATGTTATTTTTTGTATTAAAAGTCGTGATTTCTTATACATCACACGGCTAAACTTAACTAATGCTCGAAAGATCTTCAATTCCTGTGTTTAAGTTTGTCAAAATATGTGTTAAAATATGATAAAATCTGACCATGTCATATTTAACTCGAAGAACTCTCTCTCTCCCTCTCTCCTAATCTCCGGCGGCAAGATTGCTTGGTACACTTCGCTGAGTTAACTAAGGTTAATTTGGTTAGGCGAGTAATTTTGTAGAGGTCAAGTCCTGTGGGTCAGTCTTGGTGGTAGGTTAGGTTAGGTTAGGTTAGGTCTAGTGAACCCAGTCGTAATGGTAGGTTAGGTTAGGTTAGGTTAGGTTAGGTCTAGTGAACCCAGTCGTAATGGTAGGTTAGGTTAGGTTAGGTTAGGTCTAGTGAACCCAGTCGTAATGGTTGGTTAGGTTAGGTTAGGTTAGGTCTAGTGAACCCAGTCGTAATGGTAGGTTAGGTTAGGCTAGGTCAGGTTGGGTCCAATGGGTCAGTGTAAGCAATAGGAAGATTACTGCCAGGAAAATGTAAAGTGAATCTTACTCCAAACATCCACATTGATCCACATTTTTCCACATAACAATCTACTGTGGATACCAAGTTAATTTGTTAACAAAAAATAATAGTATAATAACCAAAGATAATTCCATAAGGCTGAAGCTGGTGTCATCATGTAGAAGAAAACGTTTTACTGCACTCTGTCTTCGAGCCAGGGATGGGTTCTTATCTCTCTCTCTCCATCTATCCGATACGAGAGAAGGAGACACGGTGATATAATACGATGCAAATATATAGAGATCTATCACGTATGACCTCCTGTGTGGTGACTTATGGTGTTGTAAGCATTACCAACACAGTCCTGCACATGTGTTAGTCCTCCCATCGTACATGTCAAGTGTAATACCATGACAGCCTGGGGGAGGAGGGTGGGGTGGCCGCTGTTTTAAAGGTTCACTTGATAATGATATAGTCTGTTTACTTCACTTACTGTGTACAGGTTTGGTGTTCAGGGTGATGGAGGACGTTCACCTTACTTCTACACACACACACACACACACACACACACACACACACACACACACACACACACACACACACTGCACCAAATGAATACACAGTCCACCATGTATATCAATATTATGGAGAACCCCGTCTAGGATAGAACCTGACACCTCTGGCCCACTTGGGAACTATATTCAGAGGAGCTGCCACCTGGTGTCGGCTGGTGGTGGAGTGGTAGAGCCTCCCACTCTAATATTTTCAAATATAATCCATGTTCTTTTCTCGTTGATAATACCAGTATCCTGCCACGATATAGATGGCCAGGCTGCATCTGATCTTATTCTTCTCATTCAGCAGCTGGTGGATTACTCCACCACCCTGACTGGATGCTGGTCCACCCAAGGGTTGTTCCACCATCATTCAGCAGCTGGTGGGTTACTCCACCACCCTGACTGGATGCTGGTCCACCCAAGGGTTGTTCCTCCACCATTCAGCAGCTGGTGTACCCACCCACGATGCGTCCACCGGTTGCCCACCCCACACCAACCCCCACCCCCACCACCACCCACCACACACCACCATTCCACCACATTCAGCAGTTGGTGGACTCCACCACTCGGCTGGATCACCAAACCCAAACCCACCACACTCCACCCAAGGGTTGTTCCACCATCATTCAGCAGCTGGTGGGTTACTCCACCACTCCCTGCCAGGATGCTGGTCCACCCAAGGGTTGTTCCACCATCATTCAGCAGCTGGTGGGGTTACTCCACCACCTGGCAGGATGCTGGTCCACCCAAGGGTTGTTCCACCATCATTCAGCAGCTGGTGGGTTACTCCACCACCCTGCCCCACCCAACCACCACCCCACCACGGATGCCCCCAGTTGTTCACCATCATCGGTGTATCCACCACCCGGCAGATGCGTCCACCCAAGGCCACATTCAGCAGCGGGGTTACCCCGCGATGCTGGTCCACCCGTTGCGCTGGAGCGGTCCACCCGGTTGTCCACATTCAGCAGCTGGTGGGCCATTACCCTGGCAGGATGCTGGTCCACCCAAGGGTTGTTCCACCATCATTAACTAATGGTAGCGAGGCCTTGGTGTATATAACTGGTGTGTTGCTATATAGGCATAAGAACATAAGAATGGAGGAAACTACAGTTGGCCTATTGTTCCATATTATGCAGTCCCGTTTACACCCAACCCCTATCGCTCATATATCCATCCAACCTATGTTTGATGCTGTCCAGCGTATTCGAGTTAATGATGATGTTTGGTAACTTGTTCCGCTCATCCACTACTCTATTTACAAACCAATTTTTTACCTATCTCGCGCCTAAATCTAAATTTGTCTAAATTAAAACCATTGTTACGAGTTCGCTCCTGGTTGGATAGTTTGAGCACCTTTGTTATATCACCTTTGTTTAGCCCTGACTTCCATTTATACACCTCGATCATATCGCCCTCACTTACGTCTCTCGAGGAGTACAAATTCAGATGCTTTAACCTGTCTCTGTACCTCGAGGTTCCTAATGCCCGGGATTAGTCTTGTCATTCTCCTCTGAATTCTTTCTGGGGATCCTATATCCATTCTGTAGTATGGTGACCAGAACTGAGCGGTAATCCAAGTGAGGTCTCACAAGCGCAAGATATAGTTTTAGGATGACCTCGCTAGTCTTGTAACTAACACTTTTGTATGAACCAAGTACTTTGTTAGCCTTGTTTCGAGCAAATACACATTGTTGACTTGGTATAAGATTCTACTATCATTACTCTAAATCTTTCTCACATTCGAATTCTCTATAACATCGTTGTTCATCTGATATCTGGTTTCTCATTTTACATCTTTAAATAGCACTTACTTCATTACTGAATTGCATCAGTTTCAGACCATTCGAAAAACTTGTCTAGATCGTCTGTGGAGTTTTGCGGAATCCTCGTCATTATAATTACACTCCCTATTTTAGTGTCATCAGCAAATTTACTTATGTTGCTGTCTACGCCGATATCTATGTCATTTATGTATATAATAAATAATAATGGTCCAAGTACTAAGCATTGCGGTACTCCACTAGTGACGTTACTCCAATTGAATTTAGTGCCGTAAATGCTATTGCTATTTCCTGCCCTGTAACCACACACTAATCCCTTTAAGAATATCTCCAATTCCATTAGCCTCCACTTCATATTTTAGCTATTGATAATAGATTTGTCAGACATAAACGCTTACCTGTGAAGCCATGTTGGGAATCATTGATCAACTTGTGCTTCTCCAGGTGATTTCGAATAGAGTTTGAAATTATTGCTCACAGAAATTTGTCTACAACTGATGTTAATTCTAATTGAGTAGTATAGAGGATAGTGATTCATTCTTCTTGAAAAATCGGTATCACATCTGCCATCTCCAGATTCTGGTACTACAATCTGTTTTTAAGGACATGTTAAACAACTTTGCTAAGGGCATACTAAGCTCTTCCTTACATTCCTTTAATACTCTGGCAAATATCTCATCGGGGCCTGGTGACTTATAAGGCTTTAGTTTGTCTATTTGCTTACTAACATTGTTACTAGTCACTACTATCTCGCTTAATTTATTTTCTTCACTATCCTTGTATTGGGTCGGTGCCTCGGGTATCATGTTTAAATTTTCGGTGGTGAAAACCTGAAAAACATTTATTCAGATTATTGCTCATTTCTCCGTCGTTATCAGTTAGCTCGCTGGTATCTGACTGTATTGGTCCAATCTTTTCTCATGTTTTAGTTTGGTACATTTGGTAGAATCCCTTGGGGTTTGACTTCACCTCGCTTGCTACCTTCAGTTCATTATTCCTCTTTGCTTTTCTTATCTCGGTCTTAACCCCACCGGCCAATACCTTATAATAATCTCAGAGGTAAACTTCACCACAATTTTTTCTTCTACCTATAGCCTTCCTTTGTCCAATAATATTCTTTAGATAATTATTTATCCATTTAGGTTCATTGTTGTTTGATCTGGGTTTTCTGTATGGTATGTTCTGACTTTGTACATTAAGTAACTCATTATTTAAATTGTTGTGGAACTCGGCAACCTCATACACACACACACACACACACACACACACGTTGAGACACAACAGCACTTCCTGCCACCCTGGCGGACAGTTCCCTTCGATATCACAATACCGACATATCCACCTAAAAAATTACTTATACAAAGCATTTATCTCCAACACACTGCCAAATTGAGAGCTCTTGAACACATACACACTCTACAGACTGATGATAATATCACACAGACCATCTACACTGATGGATCTTCAACACCGCCTGTGGAGGGCTGGAAGTGCTATTGTTTGACTCAACCTGACGGTAATATAATTGAGAAAGGAGGTAGAATTAACAACTGGGCATCCACTCTACAAACTGAATTAGCCACACTCACAGCTATTAAATTCATTGAAACCACTGTTACGACAGTCTCATCATCACTGACTCTCTATCCTCACTACTTGCCCTTGGCACCCTTAATCTAAGTTGTCACGCTCTTGTCTCCTGAAGCCAGACACAAATATGCGTGCCTTGTTGACCGGGGTGTCAGGGTCAACTGTTGTGGATCCCTCTCACATAGGCCTCAAAAAACATAACAGAGTTGATGCCCTATCAAATTCACGTCTAACAAAGACACCGTTGAATACAATTTGGTCTGTCAAAAGAACCATTAAAACTCTAATTAGAAAGAACTTATTGATGAATTTGACGCAAGTAACAAGTAAACAGGCACTAGTCGATCCATAGGTTACTATGATGAGATGTATCATGAAACATGTATATGGAGCAAGTAACAAGATCACTAGATTACAAGATGTTGTGACCGCAGATTAAGGTTAGGATATAAGTACCTTTGCGGTATGTTCTCAAGCAGATGTAAACAAACTAAATGTAAAGTGTGTGGACAGACATATGGCCACACACTTGAACACTACATCTCGACTGTGTGAAGATAGAACCTCTAGGACAGGTCCAAGCACACTTTGTAGAAATGGCACAACACTTCATCTCTAATGGCAAGATAGCCGACATATTAAGATCATATCCACTTTTTTACACTTAGTAACTATATCAATTGCCACGTATAGGACCAAACACACAATGTGCTTGAATACCTCTCACGCAAATGTGAACAACAAAGTGTGAGGGCAGACATATTGCCTTACTCTGCTCTACTCACGCAGTTTTTTTTAATTACAGGATTAGCCCACCCGAGCACAGGTCACTGACCCACATCAGGGCCTGGGGGGCGAAAATGTAATAATAATAAATAATAATAATAATAATACTAATAATAATAATAATAATAATAATAATAATAATAATAATTATAATATAATAATAATAATAATAATACTAATAATAATAATAATAATATTAATAATAATAATAATTAGTTCATAGTAAACAAAATTTCTAATTAAAATATTAAATAAAATAATAAAACTATTACAACACTGAAATAATGATAAAAATAAAGAACACAAAGAAATACAAAATGAAAAAATCGTATTGAGAAACGATATACAGTATGTATGTTGTGTTGTGTTGTGTTGGTGTCGTGTCGTCGTGTCGTGTCGTGTCGTCGTCGTATGTGTCGTGTCGTGTCGTGTCGTGTCGTGTGTCGTGTCGTGTCGTGTCGTCTGTGTCGTGTGTCGTGTCGTGTTGTGTTGTCAATAGTAAGAGAAAAACTGAGACAATATGTGTAAAATATGCAGAAAGACACACACATATGGGCAGCAGGGCTAACATAGACAACACACAGGCGAAGGCACACACATATATAACAAATAATGTATTAAACACTGTGTAGTATATAATATTTTACTTTGTAAATGCATTGGTTTTTGACAGATGAGTATGGTATAGTAAATTAAAGGCAAATACTAAATTACCACACACACACACACACACACTGGACTATCAAGAACAGACCAGCGATATGGAAATGGCGACATGTGAGGGGAGGGATGCGAGCTAAAGCCACACACACAGATGTTTGCATGGGGAGGAACAAGCTGACTGTTTTACTCACGGAGAAGAGGCTAATACCTGAACCACGGTGTGAGAGAAGGATGTTAGGTTTGACATGAACCATGGGTGAGAGAGAGGTTAGGTCTCTGACACTACTGAACATATTTGTGTGAGGAGAGAGATGGGTTCCTGACACTACTGAAATATTTGTGTGAGGAGAGAGAGTTGCCTGACACATTTCTTTTACCAGAATGGACATTGACATACTTGTTTATTTTGGCCTACCACTAACTTCCCAGCTGGTTTAGGATACTTACCATCAGGTGAAATAAGTCAGGTGAGGGGGCATTTCAGATGACTAAAATATTGTGTGAAGGCAGTATTTGATGCACATATCAACGTGTTTCAGACGTCAAGACATACGTAAGAGAATGGCCGAATAACAGACGGCTGATAATGGGTGAGGAATGGAAGCGTTTTACTACCTGGATGGACAAAAAGGCTTAAAACATGACGGAGAGAGCTTGACAAGGCCTGAGTCAGTGAGCCTGGGGGTGGGTGAGGGCGGGCTATGAGGGCGAGGTGAGGGCGGGGCATGGCAGATGAGGAGAGGTGGGGGTGGGTGATGGGCATGGCGGAGGGCGACGGTGAACGGGTGGAATGGGTGAAGCAGGCGGAGGCTGGGGCACGGTGATGGAGCAGGCGGGAGGGTGGGCGAGGCGGGGGCATGGGAGTATGGGTGTGGGGAGGGTGGAGGAGGGCGGGTGTGGTGGGGGTGAGGGAGGGGGTGTGGAGGGTGAGGGCGGGTCTGGTGGTGAGAGCAGGGGTGTGGTGGTGGTGAGGGCGGGGGGTGTGGTGGCGGGGAGTGGCTGGAGGCGTGGTGGTGGTGAGGGCGGGGTGGTGGTGATGGCGGGTGTGGTGGTGGTGATGCGGGTGGTGGTAGAGGGCGGGTGTGGTGGTGGTGAGGGCGGTGTGGTGGTGGTGAGCGCGGTGGTGGTGGTGATGGCGGGTGTGGTGGTGGTGAGGGCGG